AGAGAGAGAGAGAGAGAGAGAGAGAGTGTGAAGGAGCGTCGGGGCATGGAAGCGCACGTGGAGCACGCACGACTGCGTCTCCCCGGGCGACGTTATTCTGTGATTTGGCAGATGCAGCTGCAGAGAGGCTGGGGCGGCCAGAGGAGAGGGAAGAGAGTAGAGTTAGTCTGTCTGTGAGGATGGTGCGATTTCGGACACTCGGCCGACCCTGGTTGTCTCTGTGCCTGGCGATGCCAACTGCAGCGCATGCCTACATTTGCGCGTCTGTAGGACCTCGTCTTGCACAGACGTACCGAACGGTTCTTCTCGCCTATCCTCCCTGTTTACCTTATCCTGCACCGGAGCGCTTTGCAGACGGCCTGACTGGTCTGGCATTCTGAGATGGCCGGCTTAAAAGCCATCTCAGATCTGCGATTTATTATCCTCCAACACGCAGTTTTATGCCTCAACCCGACCCACATTCTCGGCCACGAGGCTGCCAATGGCCACAAACGTGAACATCCTCGAGATCCACATTGTCTCAACTGACCCTGTCACTTCAGAGCGCCCGTTAACAGCCGACATAAAATCCCTCGACTCGTGCCCACCTTGGGCACCATAAAAAGTGCTGCATTCCTGGCCAGTTCTCCTGTCGCGAGCATAAAAAACCGACATAAACGCAAATTGCCACAGTTGACTCTACTATTTCCAGCACGGCGGCCGAGCAAAGTCTCAAGGATCTAGACGTGAAGTAACCCTTACCAAGGCATATGGATGCTTGAGCCCGATTGTTTTCCCACTCTGAAGACGAGCTGAGGTCGTTTTGGGGTATGTCGCACCAGTCTGTCTGCCAGTCATCACAGCGGTCTGTGTTCACCAGTCCACAATGCGATTTGACCTCAGCCGACTGGCCTACCTATGCCTGACTGGCCTGCGTGGTTGGGGCTAAGTTGGTCTCAGTGAATTGAGATCAAGCCACGCGCGTGCTCTGATTGGCTGGTTGGCCGGTCTCCGGTTTACCCACCTCTCTCGATGCTGATTGGCTGACATCTCTCCTCTGGCCTAATCTCGCCTGCCTTAAAAGCAGACGTCCAGCTGATGAACGCCAATCTCGTCTCCCCCTACTCTCGTCTTCACGACCCCATTTCACGACTTGCCGGCAAAGCAGATGGACGGCAGGAGGTTGCGGTCGTCAAATCCAGTCATGTCAGACGCATCTTCAAATATCGGATCAG